GCACCCCCGCTTCGGTAGCCCGACGACCTACACACGAAGTCGAGCACTTTACGGTAGAACAGTTTAACGAGGATCAATAACGCACACCCTCGGTCCCAATACAGACTAATCCAAGTGGTCACCCACCCGCACACTGACAGCTTGACAGCGGTGATCTGCTGGGAACCATGTCTTTACGATCAGTCCACTGCGGGACAACATGTCTTCGGATCATCCACGTGGATGTTTCCTAGACCGTCACTAATAGCCCATTGTGCAGCTCTAGTGCGACTTAATTGAAACATTACAACTTCACTACTTTTATTACTAATAATAAAATGCAGGTTGATTAGTTATGGTGGCGTTGAGACTTAGGTACTAAAAGCAGCAATGAAAATCATAGCTTTCTATTCTTATTTAATGAAAAAGCTCAAAGTTTAAAAACTAGTGAGTGAACTTGAGTAGGTGATAACTTCAAATCACAAATTGTAAAAACAGGACTTGGGGCTTTGATGATTAAAAGGGAAGGGAAAGATATTATCTCGCCGCTAAACGCTCTGAAGTGTAGAAGTAGAGGGCTCGATTCCGGTCATGGCTTAGGGGGTGGAGCGCTCACCTCCCAACGAGATGAGCCAGGTTCTAATCCCAACGTTGACAACTTGATATGAATTCTGCTCCTGGCACAATCAGGCTAAGCGTGGGAGGTTTCGTGGTTTTCTTCTTCATGTAACGCAAATGTGAGTTAGTTCCATCAAAAATCCTCCACGAAGACTAGTTTGTTCCAATACTAGGAGTTCCCTTGGTTTCTGGATTCGTTCAAAATTACAAGCCGTATACAATTTTGAAATGGATAGTAGTAGCAGACTAGCAGCTGAAGGTCTTCATAATTGAATGGTGTAATAGTTAGCAGAGAATGAGACCATTTCAGATATCGACCACGCCCTTCGACCCATAAACTGTGTGTTAGACCATTAAAGTGGTAAAAAATATCGAATCGGAAACGTCAGCAATTATTCACTCTTCATAAAGTCGGATATTGAGCTGCTAGTGCACTTTCTTAGTTGTAAGTAGCGTTAGATCATATATCTATGGCAAGATTTAAGCATATATCAGTCTACATGTGTGTGTTCGTGGTTAAGTCAGAAACGTCCATCTTTAAATTATATATGTTTGATTTTATTGCGGCATATTACCAGTTGTTAATTTGTCTCTCTCACCACTTATGATTCGCAGTTCGAACACTCACCTAATTTCGTTCCTGGTACAAAATTGAGTTTTAAAGTCGCTATACTATTTTTATTGGTTCCAACTCCATTGGTATTTTAAACTTTAAAGCTTAGAGTGTTAAGTTAAAGTGAGTTAAGGTAAACCTAGACTAAGCAACGAAGTTTTAAATTCTTTTATCAAAATGCAAACAAATTATTGCGGGAGGAGAATCCTGAGTTATCATTCCACACTTTGTTTGCATATTGATAGTTTGAAAAAGATAATCTGAATTTGAAACTTTATGGTTTATTCTAGGCTTATCTAAACTCAATTTTCGCAAACTTTAAATTACTTATATAAGTGAAAGAAAATTTGCCATGATGAGTCCTTCGAATCTCGGCCGTAGCTGGTTGACTCTTACACTGCTACTTACTAGCCTCCATCTTTGACGCAAATTACCATCAATGGTAAATCGAATCTCGGCCGTAGCTGGTTGACTCTTACACTGCTACTTACTAGCCTCCATCTTTGACGTAAATTACCATGAATGGTAAATCGAATCTCGGCCGTAGCTGGTTGACTCTTACACTGCCGCTTACTAGCCTCTATCTTTGACGCAAATTACCACGTATGGTAAACTGCGTTACCATAGGTGACGCAGCTTATTGTTGTTGTAGTTTATTTACGTCGCATTAGAGTTGTAAAAAGAGCTGTTGGCGACGATCTGGGAAACATCCCCAGAGGATGATCCGAAGCAAGCCATCACAATTTAGATCTTTTGCAAAGGGGATGGCTCTCCCGCTTCAATAGCTTGACAACCAGCGCACGAAGTGGAGGAATTTACGGTAGAACAGTTTGACGAGGACCCATACCGCTTCATCAGCATGGTTTTCTTGCAGGGTGATCAAAGTGGTCACCCACCCGCACACTGACGCAATCAGTGATGCTTGACTTTGGCGATCGACTTAAAACCTTGTCTTAGCGATCAGTCCACTGCGAGACTATATTAACTGGTTATAGGTAAGACCGTCCTTACCATTGGATGCAAATTCTAAATAAGTTTAAAATTTTCTAAATTTACACTAAGCATTTCTTATTTTAGTTTTTAAAGTAAAATAAAACCTATAAAAATAATTAATTTAATATTCTTACTAAAATTAAATTAATTATGAACTAAAAGCTTTAAATTATTGACTTCTTTTCTAAATTAATATATAAAGCATTTTTTTAAAATTAAAATAATAAAATATAAATAAAATATTTGATTTAATATTTATACTTTTATTAAAAATAAACTAATTATGAATTTAAATTGTATAAAGTTACATAATACATAAAATATTTTCTATTAAAATTAATGCATAAATTAATTATTGAATGTTAATTTTAGAAATTGTCCACTCTAAGTTTTGTCCGCACTTAGTTTTGTTCGGCGAAGTTTCGGCTGCGAAAATTTGATCCATAACAAATTTTACAACTTCATTCTGATTTATGAAAAAAAGATCCCCTTGGTTCCAGTCATTTATTGTAAGAAAAATAAGTTTCCTCTAGCTTTTCTTTAGAAGTTTTGCGTTATATGGTGAAGTTTATGTTGTAAGTGAGAACTGTGGTCAAGGAGATCTCATATTAGAAAAATATTGGGCTGTAAATTTTTTAGCGATTGCTATTGATTAATATGTGATATCTCGTACACACCAAATTTGTATGCCTTATAATTCAATTATATTTTTCGACTTTTATTAAAAATATTATTAGTATTATTATCTTTTTTTAATGGAATTATCGTTGGATAAACGATTTCAGAAATCCGAATTCGTCGAAATAAAAGTTTTATTTTTAGAGAGAAAGTACGTTTTTGTTTCTGATTTCGTAACTTAAAATATCATCTGCACAAATTAATTAGCATATTTAAAGTGAGACCAATGAGTCTTTGCACATAAAATCATTAGATCACTTAATATCACGATCATTACAGCACGTAAAATCATTAGAATCAGATATGTGTGATTCTAGGAAGAATCTAGAGCGATTGCTCAAAACTATGTATTTCAATATGCTCTCAAAATATTTTGAGTTAAGTAATTAGTATTTGAAATGTTTATATTAATTTATCTGTTAGGAGCTCCAAGGCAGTTTAATTAAGATAATGCTTCAAAATTTTTGGATAATATTCATTTCATTTATCCCAACCAAAAACCTTGAATCAACCACAACCACTCAATGTTTTTTACAATAAACTTTTTTTTTATATGCATTTATTATAAAAACCTTTTTTTGCCAATGTGTAGTTTTTCGCCTAGTTTGTTCTCAATTCGGACTTCTCTCAAGTTATTACCTTATCGTTTCATTTTAGCATTAAGTTAATAAGGTTGAGAATGCCTTAAATCAAGCATATATACCATCAAGTGAACGGTGCTGCCATCTGATATTAAATGAATTACATACTCGATGAAGAAAATATGGTGCTGCCATCTACCAATGCAGTTATGAAACACAAGAACTCATACCACAAATAAGACGATATTCTAACAAAAAGGAAAAGGTTTTTTAATATTTTTTTTCATTCTGAATTATAATTATTTTCAATCAAATTTGTCTAATTAACGCAAAAATATGCATTAATTTTTTTAATTGTTTTCTTCATGAAATCAAGACAATAGTGGTCAGAGGTAAATATGAACAGCTACAGCTGTTAAACTTGCTGGAAAAAATATCATGCTGACTGCTCTAAAGAGCGAGGCCACAGGACTGTAACTACAGAGTTAAAATTTGACATGCTGAAAGGGCAGTTTTTGTTTATGAACTTAACATGAGCCTTTTCTTGAAATTCTTATTTGTTCAAATTTTTTTACAATTCCAAGTGCCATTTTTACAAATATCATTATATTTTTTGGCTTTATATTACATTTTATTTTGTCACACAAAAACTATAAGACTTAACTTGAAGTTAAGAAGATAAATGTACAAGGAATTTGATAAAATAAAAAAACAAGTTGACCACCAATTTATTTGAAAATTTTCAATTTTAAGTGCCTTGTTTGCTTGATCTTTTTTGCTCTTTGATTTTTCTACCGTTTGATTTTTTTTTCTTGAAATAATTTTTCCACTGTTGCAGAAAAATTACTTTCTCTTTCTCTACCGATTTCATTTTATGAGGTCACATTTAACTTAACATCAAAAGTTACAAAAAAAACAAATAAATAAATAGCAGGGAGATATCATATGTTGCCAGATTATATGTTGCCAGATCCTATATGTTGCCTGATCTTAATATTTATATTGAAATTTTAAAAAAACATCAACAGTGAAGAGAGATAAAAATTGTTCCCAATGCCAACTGTTATTTAATAAAATTTATTGTTACAAATTGTTAATATGAAAAATTACCTTTCATGTATTTCTTTTTACTGTGTCACATATTATGTATTCATAAGTACAGTTCCTTATTTTTCAAAACCAGGTATTGTTTCATTTCTTTTTAATTTAACATATTAATAAAATGTGCATATAATAATGTGCTAACTAAAAATTAGAACAATTATGCATTTTATAAACTAAATCATTTATTATAAACTTCTAAAAAGAAAAAAAAAAACAATGAATGAGAATCAACCACAGGGGTTGGTAAGCCAGGCGAAAAGAGTGTGAGCTTCCTAGTATTATAAACAAAACTAAAACTTATGCTTAGAAAATTGCCTGCAATGCATATCAAATACAATTTTTAAATTTAAAGAAGAAAATATATTTATGAAAATGCAAATATGCAAAAATATTCTAAAGATTAAATCTCAATAGAAAAACAAAACCCATACAAATGAAAGATAATAGTATTTATTTACACAATAAACAAGTTTGATTTGTCAGAGCAATAACGATAAATGCTTCATAAAATATATAATGATATACGAACAAACTTCAATGCTCAGTAGCTTTATTTGTAATACCACCAAACAAGGTGAAGGTCACTTCTCCCTAATGATATTAAGTCCAGAATAAAAATAGGCCTGCTAGGAAGACTGCAAGAAAGAAAGAAAAAATACTGTATTATTCATCTATAATATTATATATGCTTAAAATTATTTAAAATATGTTGGGTGAAATAATTTATTAATAAAATGAATTATTTATTTCTAAATAAAATTACTTATTCAAAAATAAATTGTAAAATAGCAAACATCAAGTTTTAATTTCAATAACATTCATCAATTTAGCACAACATGCAAAAAAAAAAAAAATTATGAACTAAAAACAAAAAAATTCCTCAGTTTATTTCTCTCTTATACAGTGTCAGCAATATCAAAAGAAAATCATTGAAACTCGAAAATAATATTATAAAATACTGTCCTTTTAATAAACTACAGAAAAATCATTGCAACATAAATACAAATATTATTACTAAATATTTAGTCTTGTCACTTATATAGAAAAACACAGTTTAAATTTGTTAAGTCTTTTAAAATTATGTTATCGGAAAAAAGAATGAAATAACTACTTTAAAAAATATAGACCTGAGCATATGGGTGAATAATGTATTGAAAAATAAAATGAATAAATTACTTTCGGGAAAGTTGGGAAGAAACAAGATTATTGCGTTTAAAATTAATAACTGCCTTACATGCAGGGCAGTGAAATAGGAGTTAAACAGATTTTAGGGCAAAAGGTGTTGGAATCATGGAATTGCTAAAAACATTTTGACTCCAATTTTTCAGTTCAACTTTAAAATTTAAATTTTGGTGAATTTTTGTTGGATGACAAACAAATTCAAAAGGGAAAGAAAGCCACCGATGACCTTTTATTTAGAATAAAATTATTCTCAGAACAAATGGAATATTCAAACAGTCAGACAGCAGATATTGCAAGTTAGTCTATATCATCCTCTTCCAATAATGAATTACATTTTAAGAAATATTTGGATAATATTTTAAAAGGCAAAGCGAATGAAGATAATGAACCAAAAACCTTTAGGTACAAAAATGAAAAAATACAAACAAGATTTTCTAAACAACTTTTGAAGAAATAGAGAAATACATAAATTTTTTTCTAAAGCATCTATTATTTATTTTATATTACATTCGTTTTATAAAAAAAAAAAATATTAAGCTGTAACACATGTGTATATGTTTACATACATATGAGTCTTTAAGTTTAAAGTCTAAGAGTCAGCAATTATCCCTAACGAAAAAAAAAATTTCCTCTTCCAATAATTTTCTCCTCCTTAATGGACTAATTTAGTAGATCTAGGAAAACTAGTAGATACGTGGTAAAAATATTATTTCAGCAATCCAGCTTAATTTATTAAGATAATAAACTAACATCATAATAATGAGAGAAAGTGAAACCGAAAAAGCTTTTACGGTCTCAAGAGTGTCCTCTTAATCGAGAAATTATTCCGAGAAATTCAGAATATCCTCTTATATATATCCTCTTAACCGAGAAATTTAGAAATTATTATTTCAGCAATCCAGCTTAATTTATTAAGATAATAAACTAACATAATAATGAATGAAAGTGAAACCGAAAAAACTTTTTCGGTCTCAAAAGTGTTCTCTTAACAGAGAAATTCAGAATATCCTCTTATATAGAATATCCTCTTATTTAGAATATCCTCTTATATTCTCTTAACCGAGATATTCAGAAATTATTATTTCAGCAATACAGCTTAATTTATTAAGATAATAATTAGTGAAAGTGAAACCGAAAAAACCTTTTTGGTCTCAAGAGTGTCCTCTTAACAGAGGTTTCACTATATTTAAGAATATAAATGGGTAATAAATAATTAAAAAAAGTTGTTAACACAAAAAGTAAGTTTAATTCTTATGCGAGCTTATACATTCTTATGTAAGTAAGTTATATGATTTCTTCAAAAGATTTTTGCAATAGAAAAATCAAAAAATTTAACTTTTAAGTTTTTCTAAAATATTTAAATTACGTCACTAAAATTATTCAAAACACACAACTAATCAAATAAAAATTAAATAATAAAAAACATATTCACAACTATTGAACATAAAGTGACAGAAACTTGTATTTTTTTTTCCTTCATGAGTTTAAAAAATGTGGTAGAATACAAGATGAATGATTAAGAACCAAATGGAAATAATTATAAAATTTTACCTGTTATTCCACAAATTATACTTTTGGAAGCATTCAACATTTGTAACTTATTAAAGTTAAAAGAAATTGTTTGAAGCATCAAAGCCCAAGTTTAAACTTTGCAAAATTCAATATAAAATTAAACAAAAGAGCTTCAAAAATTAATGAAGTAACTATTTATAAAATGATTATTTTCAATAGTAATAGAAAATACGTAACATAATTTTAGAACATATAATTATTTGAATTTGTTTCAATCTTATTGAGAATAAAAAAAAAATTATTTGAGTATAATATAATGAATCAGACTTAGAACCTGAAAAATAATCACTATTCAAATTACTGTAGGTATTTTAACTAATTTAAAATACTGTAACTATTATATTTCAATTGCTACATTGCAAAATGAGATTAGAACTTTGTATTTACAAATGCTAAAACAAACTTTTTTCGTGTTTCCAGTAATGTAATGTACTTTTTAGATAATATCGTTATGGACTAACAAACTAATTTAGCAAACCCAATTTTTAAGATTTTATTAATAAGAATATTTTTAAAAAAAAGAAGTTTTAACAATGAAACAAAACTTGTTAAAGAAAGTTCAAAATTTCTAATAAACCTTTTAAATCAACTTACAATCAGTTTTTTTAAGAACTCTGTTAAAGCAAAAATACTTCATTTTTTTAAAGACCCCTAATTCAAGTGTCCCCCCCATCCCGAGCTCCCATACTCCCAGTCTGATTCTGATGATGAATTGGTATAAGAAAATAAGTAAGTTAAGAAAAAATGATTAGTTTTTTTTCCCATAGCAATAATTCCTGAAAACAAAACTATTGTTGAAAAAAAATTCTTGTATAACAATAACTAAAAGGGAAATGCCCTGATGTCAACTATACATAAACAAAAAAAAAGATGCATATTTTGCAAGAATATAAAAACAACAATAGTGAAATAATTATCATAAACAAAATACATAAAACAGTCAAATACCTTAATTCCCAACCCGATATGTTTTACGAAATTCTCTGTCAAAACTTGAATCAGCTGCAGTCACAAAAAAAGCTGGTGTACCATCATAGACTTTGTACCTAGAGTTGAATTCAATCATATTTTTTACAATATTTAAAATAACAAATATGAAAATTTAAAAATACAGATAATTTTTTCCCCTAATTTATCATTTAATTTCCTTTAAAAAAAAAATTTCACCACTCTTTAAACCTTGATTATCTAGAGAAAAAGATTCTAAAAAAAGATAAAGTAAATGCAACAAAATCATCTTGAATTAACATTTTAAGCTTAAAATCATAAAAACAGTTACGATATATCATTTACCTACCAACATAGAGTGAGATGAAAACATACTCAGTCGAAATTATATTAACTCACAACTTGCTAAATTAAAGTCAAATTTTAATGGCCTGAACTTAATCCCTTAGATTCATCAGGTCTTTTTAATTGCTTATATATAAATTTCTTTTGAATTCATAGGTTTCTCCTTTAATTTTTATGAAATTCTAAAATGACAGGACAACTAGATAGAGTTTAATGCACTACCTGACATTTATAACAAGGATTTTATCTTACATTTTTTGCAATGAATTTTGTATTTGTTTTCAAGCTTCACAACATGAATAAATAATAGATGAGATGATATGTTAAATTAATTTGCTATTTACAACTAAATATGGGTTTAAAATACTAAATAATAACAAAATAAACTACTTTTATAAATAGCTTATTTTAATATTTTTACAAAAATAAAACAAACCATTTACCTTTTATGAGATAGAACATTTTTTAGAGTATCTGTGATTTTAACAGTAATAATTTCCACACTAGGAGCATTGTCCATAAAAGATATCTGAAAAAAGACAAAATGACTTTTGTTATTCACAGCTCATTATAGTTGCTTGTTGTTGTAAAATATATTTAAACATTGAAAAATATAAAGATATGTTGCGTAAAAAATACTTCTATTAATTTTTTTAATAGGAAAAAAAAAAAACTATTAAAGAATGCTTACAGTATTCATAAATGTAAACACTGTCTGTGTATTCATATGATATAATATACATAGTAACCATCTATGAGTCAAGAACATAAAATATAGTGATGTACTAATGCTACTCACTAAATTCGTATTTACTTAAATTGGGAATATCTTTCTGATGGTCAAATAGTTTGTAACTAATTAGCAAAGTTGAGAGTTGAAACAGCATAGAATATGATTTGTATATTTTTTCTTTTTAATTTTTAAGTAAATTGTAATAACTTATTTTTATGTGCTTTATATTGCCATCAATTTTCTATAAACTAATGTACAAATATGCCAGTCACTCAAACTTTGCTTGCTAATATTAATTTGAAATTATTCTTATTAAGTATTGTATCCTTTATCGATGAGTTAGGATTTAAGTTTATTTTCTTGCTATGCATTATTTCATTGTAATTATCATGATGGATTTTGTCTACTATTCTCCATGAGATAATGTCAAGTTTCAAGCTGCATTTCGTCTTCAATAAAGAAACCTCGAAAGTTAACCAGCTTAAAACCAGCCAACATTGCTGTATTATATATGGGATTGTATCTTTTTTTGCTGGCAGGAAGAAACAGGACACACGCCAACTTCAACACAGGGGTAACACTACATCTCCCAATTAATTTTTTTCCTCTAATGTTTTTTGTTAATTTTAAAACATGAAGAATTTGGTGTGGAATAATATGAAGAATTCCAATTCGGAATTTTCAAAGCGACGATGAAAATTATGTAATCACGCCAACTTTAACACAGGGGTAACACTACATCTCCCAATTACTTTTTTTCCTCTAATGTTTTTTGTTAATTTTAAAACATGAAGAATTTGGTGTGGAATAATATGAAGAATTCAGATTCGGAATTTTCAAAGCGACAATGAAAATTATGTAATCACGCCAACTTTAACACAGGGGTAACACTACATCTCCCAATTACTTTTTTTCCTCTAATGTTTTTTGTTAATTTTAAAACATGAAGAATTTGGTGTGGAATAATATGAATAATTCAGATTCGGAATTTTCAAAGCGACGATGAAAATTATGTAATCACGCCAACTTTAACACAGGGGTAACACTACATCTTCCAATTACTTTTTTTCCTCTAATGTTTTTTGTTAATTTTAAAACATGAAGAATTTGGTGTGGAATAATATGAAGAATTCAGATTCGGAATTTTCAAAGCAACAATGAAAATTATGTAATCTTATGAATATTTTTCTTACAATGCATTAATCATAACATTTTGAGATATATAAAAATTCTCAGATTTAAAATATACACTTAATCAAAGAATATTGCTATATTTTTTTATTAAATTAAATATTTTTTTCAAGCTAAATTATTCTTCACCTAAGAAAAGAAAGTAGGTATTTTTGATGGCTTCATTAAATGCAGTTTTTGTGTCAAATCATATGAATTCAAACTAGTCTTCTTTGTCCTTTGATTCTATTCTGTTTTTGTTCGCTAAATTAGTTGGTAACATTTTAATGGAATTCCAAATTTCTTTTTCAATTTTTTAAAGGCCTCCTTCCAACTCTTTAATCACAGCTATTTTTTTAACTAATTTTAATGATGAACAGAGTGCAAAATAAAAAACAGACTGCCCTGAATAACTTTTGATCTAATGACTGGATCTTCACGTTCTAGGATTCAATCTTAATATTCGAGAGGGTGACCCCTTCATATTAATTTTAATTTTTGTGTATTTTGCCCCATTTGGAGAAGAACTTTTTAAAAGCGAATTGAAAAATTTTAGCACACAATTTTATATTGTGTTTATCCTAGAGAATTTCATGCAAAAGAATAAATTTTAGTAAATATTTATTATTTTATTATATGTTGATAAGAAGTTTTGAATTGTAAGGTACACAACTTTTTGCATTATTTTAAAATAGATAATATTACATGACAAAATACAAATTTTGAGTGAAATAAGTTGAATAATTCCTGAGAAATCAAATTTTGAATAAGTCGTATAGTTAAAACTCAATTTCTCAGGAACTATTCAATCAATTCTGCAAAATTTTTTGTATTTCGCCATGCATTTTAAAATTACGTAAAAAATTTTGTACCTTACAGTTCAAAATTTTTTCAACTATTATTAAATGAAATAATTAATATTGCCTAAAATCCTTTTTTGGGGGGGCGGGGGGTGCACTGTAAATGAAACTTTAATTTTTGACAATGCCACAAGAACAGAGTGATAACATTAAAAACACAACCACAGAAACATAAAATATTCCAAACACAATAAATCAATAACGGACACATGAAACTCCAATAACCAAATAGCTGCACTTCTGGGCAGGGGAAATTCATTTTTGCTTTTATTAAAAAGACCATCTCATAAACAAGTTTTATTGTATTATTTTAAGGTAAATTGCAAGGAAAATGTAAATTAGCTGTGATTCTTAAATATGATTTTTATACAGAATTTCAGAAACTAGCAAAACATTTAAATTATCGAGAATTTCGATTTTAACAAGCCTGAGTTATCCATGTCTGACCAGATTGAACTGCAAATAAATTACATTGATTATCACATTGTTGTACAATACAAAATCTTAATAAATATTACGTGTGAATAAATTTGGTAAAATAAAAAATGCAATAGAAAATTTTAATTAATGTACAATATAATTATTATGCAATATATAATTATTATGTAATACATAATAATGTAATATTTTATTACATAATATATAATTAAATGCAATCGATAATTTTTACCTGCAAATTTTCTAGGCTGTATTTTCCATCTTGATCCCAACCAGGGGGATCCTGAAACATGACTTCAAAGTGATCTAAAAACCTAAAAATAAAATATAAATAAATTTAAAAAAACTTTTATAATTTTCTGTTGTATTTCACAACCTAAAATCAAAGATTAATTTTTACTATTGCCATAAATTTATGTTCATAAAAAATTGAATAACCAGAGTTTTAAGCAAAAAATAGAAAAAGCACACAGAAAAAATGGGTTATGTTGACTTTTTATTAACAGTGGTAAAAAAAAAGCTAAACAATACTATAATTTATAATTTTTTAAGCTTCACTTAAAACTTGTACATACTAGCGTAAATAATTTCAGTCTAAAAAGTCACATGATTTTTCACTATTAGGTCATTTTGCAAAAGCTTAATGCACTTTTTTCACAGTAGTTCTGCTTTCTTTTTCTTTTCTATTTTTTTCCTCACAAAGAGAACACAGATTCATTAATTTATTTATAAAAATATGTGACGTTAAAATACTTATAACAATTAAAATACTCTAAAACCTTTTTCCTTTTAACCATTGGCATCGCGGACCAATGTTTAAAAAGAGCAGTGCTTAATTCTTAAGCAACTAAATAACAAATACTAACACTGATTCCTCATGAAATTCTTGAATATAATCTGAAGTACCATATTCTGGGTATAGAATCATAACTGGCCACACTAACTTATTATCTTGATCTAGATGAACTCTTGCACTCACAGCACTTGGGCAAATCGTTTGAACATTTTCAAAATCAAGGTTATTGCTGCCCAATTGAATCTTTCTTTCCTGAAAAAACGAACAGATGAATTATATTAATTATAAAAAGAAAATTGAAATACCCCTCATATTTCAATTAATTGGACAAAAAACTCCATCCAACTAAAAACTTTGATGGTAAAAAGTGGTAACCCACATTATTTTTAAGAAATTAATCATTAAAAAATATATTAACAATCAATTTAATTATTTTTAAAAAATATATTTACAATTGTATTTTTAAACTAAAAAAATACTTATTGTTTGTTGTTTACTTGAGAACAATGAAAGCTTGTGTTAGTTATAATTATTAACAGAAGAAATGGAAACATTTTGTGATGTGTGGGTTATAACTTTCTACATTTAAATTTTCTAATTCATTAGTGCTCTGAGAATTATAAATTACACATTATATAGTTATGAAACAAATAATTAATTAGATGAAAAATACTATAACAGCATAAAAATAACATAAAAAATACTATAACAGCATATTAATGTACTATTAAATGTAAATAAAATAATAACATAAAATTAAAGAATTTAAATGCTAACTATTTACAATAAAACTAATACAAAGAAAAATTCTAATATATCATGCATTTTGTAATTACATTTTTAATATAAAATTGCCATTGACCATTTTATTTCCTTAAACATTTTACTATTCCAAAACCTAGCTGTTTCTGTTTTTATATTTAATTGAAATAAATATTGAATCATTGATGCATTATCAACTAAATAAACCTAAAACATTTTTCAAAAAAAATTTAAAAAATTAAGAATATTTAAATTATGATTAGAAAAATAGATTTTTCTAATTATGCAGTTTATTTGAAGAAGGCATTAGTATAATTTTTCTTAGGTAGTGGTTCCTTACCATAAGTTTTTTATTTATGCATTTAACTAAAATATAAAATATATTTTTCAAGAACAAAATTTCAATCTCTAAAAAAACTTTTTCACTGACTGTATATTATATATCACATAAATGTAAATAAAATAATTGAAAACATAAATGGATTGAATAGATGAAATTTAGTTATCTGAAATATTTATCACGTGATTAAAGTGTCTTATTCAATTCCTTTTTTATTTTCTTTACAAAAAAAGTAAATAATGTTTTTATTTGCTTCATTATAAATTTAAAAAACAAATATTAAATTTCTAACTTTTATTTGAAGATTAAAAATTTAATTTTAGAGGACAACCAATCTATTAGTACGAATATTAAAATTATTATAAAAATTACAAAGAATAAAGATTTTAATGTCTCCTTCATTTTAATCATTTCAAGATATAAACAAACAAAAAATGCATAATTACGGCAATGACTTTCTTCACGACTTCTAACTCTTTTTGACGCTTTGAGTCTTGGGCTAAAGCTTTTCTTCTGTCTCTATCATCAGCTTTCTAAAGCAAAATATTAAAAAAAGTTAAAGTTAATTATACTGTAGCATATTTCATTTATTTCAAACTATACATTGTAAATTTAAAAGTCAATTGTTATACAAAAATTTGATTAAAAACTCAAAACAATCAGTTCAGTATTTTTCAATTATTACCCTAAAAGTAGATGGCCTTATTTAACTACCCGATTACACATTTTCCGACTTTCTTTTTAAAAAAAAAAATAACAACAAGTGAATTAAAAATATTTTAAGTATGGTTTCAATAATCTTGAAAGGAAGACACAATATAATGCCTAATAATTTTATGCAAAAGTAATTTAGTGGATTTCTCAGTTCACAATTTAAAAATTCTCTGTATTGATGATTGGAACTGAACATTTTTAAATTTAGACGAACAAAATGAATCACTAATTGTGAAACTACAAAACAACAAAGCTCCACCCAACAAGATTTGTAAGCTATAGTCTGCCAAAGTCAGTGTTTCCCAAAGTGTGGTATGTGTACTCCCAGGGGTACAGAAACAGTTTAGAGGGGGTACATGTTCTTATGCAAAAAATCTTGCAACAAACGAAAATTTCAAAAATTTTTATTTAATAATAAAGTTAGCCATGAAAATTTATGATTACATATTTTTCTATTGGCTAATTTACAGTTAATAATTAGTAGTATCAACAGCCAGTTGCGATTTTTAACTTTTGAGCAATTTTTTATAGCAAAAAATACATTTATTTTTTTATCAGTGGTACACAGCATTATGAAACATTTAAAAAGGGTGCACAAAAGTCATAAGTTTGGGAAACACTGGTCTAAGCTAAGAACTCCTCCTGCCACAAAGTCTGACGCCGCCTGGTGCTATGGAAAAAGAATGGCGCATTTTAAGGAGGGTAGCTTTACTCTAGAACTAACACAATAGACCGAAGAGATTCCCTTTCTCTAGCCGACCCGATCCAAAACCACTCCAAATCAGGAACCCCACACCCCTACTTGGAATAGTCATACCTCATTACCATAGTCACCGCCACAGGTCCAGACGAATGTCTGGAGTTCTTATTTTAGACAAACTATACTTTATTTGCTGAAAATAATAAATAAGAGATTTATCCCTGAATTCAACACCATAAATATTTTCTAATGTAAAATTTTTAATTGAGTGTTTAAATTTTCATAAATTGACTAAATTTTTAAAAAGTTTGAAACAATGAATACTGCAGGTAAGGGTATATATTCTTAACCATGTATGTAATTTGTAAGACTGTCCCTAATTTCGAAATGTAACCTAAATTTGAAGTGTTGATAATTAAAATAAAATGAAGTTAGGTCCAAAATATAATTTTTAATTATTTTAAATTAATAATTTTAAAATCCCCATTTGCATTGATAGGAAAACAAATATTCTGTACACACAAACACGAATTAGGAATATCAGCATAAAAAGCTAAAATACAAAATATTAATCAATAACAAAATATGTTTTGTCAGAAAAATCAGGAATATAAGGGCAACTATGAATCACCCTTTATTTAAAATAGTAAAAAATAAATCTTAAAATTAAATGTTACCTTTTTTTGTAAAGCTTTGTTTTTTAATTCTTCTAACAGCTTATTGTCAGGATTTACCTACAATAAAAAGAAATCTGAAATTTAAATCCAGTTTTATTAATAAAATAAAAAAAAACATAGGAATCATTTATCATAAGTTAGAGTTGATTATGGCTTAGATTAGTGAATGAGTCAAAGCCAGTTTTCGTTAATGATGTAGTTAATAACATTGATTCAGCTATAGTAAAAGGTGCACTCAACATTCGGTGCAACTGCGAGGATCAGACGGCGCTTACCAGCGGCCACCTTAAGTCTCTTTCTTTCGAGGGTAGTCTTAAAATCTTCCCAAACTGCCCCAGGTGCCACAACACGCAGGCTTCTCCCCAACATATCACGGACTGTCTTGGACTGGACAGGAGGGACATTCTTGAAAACCCACTTTTGGTGGGCGACTTCCTCCGGGTCATGAATTTCATGGACATTGTTTAGCCCTACTAATTTTGGGGATTAGGAAGAAGGAGAAGAAGATATAGTCAAACATTTTGAAAAATGTTCAACAGCTGATTATTTAGGTCTCTCCCATCCAATGATCACATTTATTAACAAAGCATGTCTACTTAAAAGTTCTAGAAACAAAACAAAAAAATAAAATAAGTATAATCCCTGGAAAGTTTCCTGCTGCCCATTGAAATCAAATTGAACATTTATACAAAATTATAATAAGAAACATCAACTATCATACATCATAAAGTATTTTTATTGAAGAAAATAAGACATTCTTTACAAACAAGCTAAAATGCTATATTTGTAGAATATTTCAAAAGGTTTCATTTCCATTGGACAAAAGAATTAATGCCTAAAAAAATAAATAATAATAGAAGTTCTTACAGTTAATCCTTCATGACACCAACTTATGCATTCTACCATTTTATTTAGTTTAAAACAGCACAAAGCACCTAAAAAGAAAAGAAAATTTATGTTTACTCAAGTATAGTATGAGTAAATAAAATAGGTCTTAAAGGATAAAATTTATTTTCATTACCAAAGTTGCTTTAAAATTGCAATTAACAATCATTCAATACTTAAAGGTTGTAAAACTATAGAAGTTTCCAAAGAAACTGAAAGTACAGTAATTTTAAAGAGGTAAAATAAAATTATTTTATAATTAAGAAACATCAACACCAACTATTAAACCCAAAATCAAAATTAATATTGAATTAATAATATTATCAATAACAGAAATTATGATTATTGAGAATTTTGTCAACTGAACTTTCTTTGGAACATATTTGCTTAAGAGTTTTTACAATAAAAAAATATATACTTTACAAAAATAGAACATTTATAAATGCATGGCTCAAACAGAAAAAGGAAAAAGACAAAAGATTTCTATGAAATGCAATATTAATGTATAATATATCAAATATTTTAGACAAAGGGAATTTTAATCAAAACTATATTACACTAATTTTACATTCACAGCAATATTTTCCATTTATGAGTGACGGACGTTTAATGAAATTTGATGTAAATTTTTTTTTTTAGACTTTTGAAGTTACAATCTTGATAAGAAACTCTTTACAGTAAGTTAAAAGATTCTTTTTAATAAACTTGAAATTAGAGGGCTCTGAATAAAAATTAAAGAAAAAAAATCTCGGAAATTTACAGCTCATTTTCAAATTTAATGCTCGAAATGGAGCTTCTTTATTTAACAGCATTACTTATTGAAATACTCAAGCAGCAAATAAATTTGTTAAAAAATTTAATTCTATAAGGATTTTTTTTAAGAAACTTTGCCACTTTCAGAGTTTTTTTTTCCAAAATATGCGAAAACCATGAAAAGATTCTAATTAAACCAGAAGACCAAGAGAAATTGGCAAAACTGGAAAAGTAGTTTACTGGTAAATCCTGTAGATTTGGCAGCTTTCTAAAATGCACTGAACTATAAGAAAAAAGTACTTACCTCTCTCAAGGCTTTTTATATAGTTGGGCTTTAAAGCTTTGGAAGCTAGTGCATCTTTCAAAGATTTCTCATAGTTCCCTACATAAAATCATAAACATTCATAACTAATAAATATAAATCAAATTAATCTCATAGGGTATAAAATGTTTAGATTATTTTAGAATCATGAAATTACACTGAAAAGAAGCAGTATTTATTTAATAATGACATATTTAGCTCTCTAGAGTGCATAAAGAAAACAGCAAATAAAAAACAAATAGTAAATCAGACTATTTAATTTCTATTTTTAAATTGCGCTAGATTAAAATTCTTAATTTTAATTGCAAAATTAATCTTTGTCAACTATAATAATACATAATCTAAAATTAAGATTTTTTAGTATGATATAACTCAAAATAATGCTATCATCAACAAAATGTTACTTAAACTAAACAGTTGAAGGAAAAAATTTGTAATGCTGCTGACAACATTATTGGCAAGAATTAAAGGAATTCAAATAAAGATTGGTTTGATGATGAGTGTGCTGCAGCGTCCAATACTAAAAACATTGCTTATAAGAAAATGATTCAAAAGAATACAAGATTTATAGACGATTAAGGAGAGAGGAAAAGCGAATACATAAGAGCAAGAAAAAAGCTTTTGAAGAGGAAAACCTAAGAGATAGTGAGTCCCTGAAGACAATAAATGAAAGCCGAGCTTTCTACAGACGAATTAATAGAAGTCGAATGGACTTTAAACAAACATCTAACCTCTGCAAAAGTAAAGATGGTTTGATTCTGACAGACAAACAGGCTGTACTCAGCACATGGAGTGAACATTTCCAAGAAATGTTCAGTAAACATGATCAATTCTATTGCTATGGGAGCATTTTTGAAAATCAGAATAATGAACATATACCTCCACCTGAACTGGGCGAGGTTGATATTGCTATAAAAAAGTTAAAAAACAACAAAGCAACTGGGCACGACAGGATAGCAGCTGAGCTGTTAAAATGTCATGGTCCAGTATTTCTAAAACTAATTTATAATCTTATTACTGATGTTTGGAATGCTGAAATTTTACCTTCTGACTGGAACACTGCCATTATTTGCCCAATATATAAAAAAGGTGATACCATGGTTTGTTCTAACTACAGGGGTATAAGTTTGCTATGTACTACCTATAAAATCTTGTCAAACATTTTATTTGAGAGACTTATACAATATATAGAACCTCAAAACTACCAACGTGGTTTTCACAAGAGAAAATCTACTAAAGATCAAATATTTGCACTTAGACAAATTTTAGAGAAGACCAGGGAATTTGGTATTACCACACATCATCTTTTTGTTGATTTCAAAGAAGGCCTTGACAGTATTAATAGAAATCGCTTGTATGAAGCCCTGGTTGAGTTTCAAGTACCACCAAAACTAAGTAAGACTTGTAAAAGCAAGCATGTCAAACACCGTATGCAGAGTCAAACTTTTGGGATCTTTATCTGAAGAAATTAAAGTAAATAATGGAGTCAGACAGGGAGACTCCTTATCCTGTCTTCTTTTTAATGTTGCTCAAGAGAAAGTTATAAGAGATGCTGAAATCAATATCAGAGGCAACATATTTTCAAAATCTATTCAAATATTGGCGTATGTGGATGATTTAGACATCATTGCAAGAACTGTTCCTGCTTTAAAAGAAGCTTTCCATTCTTTGGAGCTTGCTGCTAGGGATATGGGACTAATCATTAATACCAATAAGACCAAATACATGCCTGTACTTACTAAATTAAATTCTAGTGAATCCTATCTGGAGATCGGTTCCCACAGGTTTCAGGATGTTCAGAATTTTACCTACCTTGGTTCAATAGTTACTGCCGACAATAACATAGACAATGAGATTCGGAGTTGTCTAATTTGTTCAAATAAAGCTTTTTATGGTTTAAAATGTTTTTTAAAATCCTCTCTTTTATCAAAAAATACAAAGCTTTTACTCTATAAAACATTAATTAGGCCAATACTTACCTATGGGTCTGAGACCTGGAACCTAACTCAAGCTGGTGAAAATAAAATTGCCATTTTTGAGAGAAAAGTTTTGAGGGCCATCCTTGGTGGGATAAAAATTAATAATTCCTGGAGAAGACGATATAATACTGAACTGTATGAAATCTACAGAGAGCCAGATATTGTGAAATTCATAAAAATAAATCGAATGAACTGGGCAGCTCACATTTTCAGAAGGAATGATGACTAAAATTTAAAGAAAATCCTATTACACAAACCCCTAACGAACAGGAAAAGAGGTAGACCCAGGATGAGATGGCTGGATTTAGTTGAGGCTGATTTCCTTACTCTAAAGGAGAAAAACTAGCGAACAAGTGTCAAAAGTAGAGAGAAGTGGATTCGAATTCAAAGGAAGGCACTGGCCCACCCTGGGCTGTCTAGCCAGATATGATGATGATGAAACTAAACAGAACATCACTCTTAGATTAATCACACATTACCAAAACTTTTTAAAACCAATTTTAATGAAAGTGCATTTAATAACCAATACTGTTTTTGTAACAAACCTCTCATCATAGGCAAGTACAAAGTTTTAATTTTAAAACATGCAATAATATATATGAAGAAATAAAATAATGTTATATAATTCAATCTTTTATTATATTGAACTATTTAGCTTTAAAATATATACATTGAAAAACTTAAAGTAAATATGCTTTCAAAATTAGATTATAATACATAACAGCATATGAAGAAGGTGAATTTTACCTATATGGTAATGGGCAGCTGCTCTGTTTGAATAAAGCTGAGCATTTAATTCTTCATCAGAACAATTTGCTTTAAGACCCTCTGTATAAGAATCTACAGCCCAACGATACTTTTTTCCTTTAAAGTTTACATTACCATCTTCTTTATAAGATAGAGCAAGCTCTAAAAGAAAAGGAAAAAAAAAAAAAACACTATTTCACAACTATGAAACATTTTAACTTACAAGGGAAACTAGGGAAGTGTGACTCGCCAATTTTGAAATAAACTAGTGGAATGCATGCCTTATCAGGAATAATTTTAGGGGGAAACTTTTGTTTCGGCCCATAGAAGGTCCTGTGAGAGATAAAAAATAATTCAATATACAGAAAAATCGGTATTTTATTACTTCAATGCAGGCTATTAGTTATTGTAATTGTCTCATACTCCAATTAAATTTGTGGTACTTTCACGTACTATATAATGCATATTTATTGTCAAAATTGATTTCGAAAATTTTATATATCTGTAGTTTATCAGAAAAATCTGTTAGGTTAATTTAAAAAAAAATTGACATCAAATTTTTTAAATTTTTTTTAAAAAAATTTTCCAGATTAATTGTAGTATGTGATTGCAAATCAATTTATTAATTGATAATTAATTAACAATTGATTAATAATTAATTAACAATTCATTAGTAATTAATTTTCGGAATAATTTATTAATTAGCAAATTAATTAATTATCAAATTAATTACAAATTAATCGGATTATGAGACAATTACAATAACTAATAGTATGCATTGAAATAATAAAAAACGGATTTTTCTATATATTGAATTATTTTTTATCTCTCATAGGACCTTCTATGGGCCGAAATGAATGTTGCCCCTTAAAATATTTCCTTATAAGGTATACATCCCTCTAGTTTATTTCAAAATCGGCGAGTCACACTTCCCTAGTTTCCCTTGTAAGTGGAAAAAGATATGTTGTAGGCATTATGCTATCAGTATTTTGTGTATCTTTAAAAAAATGCGGCAGCAAAATTACATACATTTTCTTACTATGTCTTTTGGTATGTTCAAAATTAAATAATTTTTTCGTATGCAAATTTAAATAAAAAAAAAATTATTACAAATCTGAAAAAAGGGGTAAAATTTTTTTTTGTCGATTATTTCGAATTTCCCACATCTATCTTGATAGTCAACTCAATATTTTTGGAATGTCTTATTTATAGTTCTCAATAAATAAATCAGTTCAACCCAGAACCACTCTACAAATAAGAGAACCCGACTGAAAATCTCTCTCGAGAATTATGTAACCTGTCACTGCTTGTATCAGAGGATTGATTTATTAAGACGGATGGTGTTACCAACCATCAAGCATCATTGGCTATCTTAAAAGATTCAGGAGATGGAATGATCGGTAATGTGCTGGAAAACATGGAATTCTTGATATCGTAGCAGATCATCAAAAAAATATGTTCTCGATTAGTCTCAATGAAGGAAAAGACGCAATGTTTACATATTTATAAAAACAAATAGCCACATTAGAGCCTAAAGAGAAACGGTTTAAGGAAAAAAGAATTACAATAAATAGTTTAAGAAAAGGCGCATGATTAAAATAAAATGCTATATCCATCCAGAAGTGATTGTTGTAAAAAAATCTTAATAATATCTATAATAATAAAATAATATAAAAACCAATAGTCTTCCTGAAGACGCATCTATTGGTATAATTTGATGCGATGTTTCTGAATAAAGAATAATTATGCTNATAAAATATCTATCAACATGTGTAGTTAATTATTGTACAAATAATAATTTTTTATAATAAATAATAATAATATACAAATAATAATATTTATTTGTAAAAAAACATATTTTAGGATTCTAAAATGAAAGGAGATCAAAAACTTTCAATCTTTTAAAAATTATTACCCTTATATTAATTATTAATATGTTAAAAATAATTTTTTCATGTAATGTATCAAAATTATTATTCCTTATGATTGATTTAAATTTGTTTCAATTATTTTGTAATAATATTTAATCAGCAATTTAGATAATTTGGTTGTTGCCGGTTTTTACCAGTTTTTGCCGGTTTTTACCAGGTTTTTGCCGGCAAAAACTCCAACCCTGATTATAATTATAATAATTAATTTGCAATATTATTGGAAACTGCACAAATATTTTAATCTTAAAACCTAATTAAATTAATAAAGTGTTAATTTAAGCATAAAGTATTGATTCAATTAATAAAGTAGCAAATCAAACATTAATAAAATAAAAGATTAAATCAATAAGTGTACTTGGTTCCTCAGAAATTAATCTAAAAAAACTTAGTAAGATGAGACAAACTGAAAATTGCAAATAATAGATTTTTAGGGTTTGCCAATTTAAATCAGTAGAATTTTTTTTTTTTTTTTGAAATCACTGATTTAAATCAAAAAAAGACATTTTTTTTTCTAACTTGTATCTATTTATTATTTTTATCTCAAATTTAACACAACATAAATCTATTTATCATTTATATAAAAATAAATCTTTGAGTTTATTTAAAATTAAATGTATAAGTTTACATATTTTTTAGGGGAATGAAACTATTTTTAAATTCCCTATGTTTAGCTGCAATAGAATACCTTCTTTCCTATGTTTTGTATTTCAGTAGCATCAAATTTGTTCTTTTAGTTTTTTTTATTATTACCATTCAATTATCAGAACTGCTCTTCAAAGCATAGGAGAAAAAAAAATTTTCCTAGGCAGAATTGCCCGTTTAGTTTTTTATTATTACCATACAATTATCAGAATTGTTCTTTAAAACATAAAAAAGTAATGTAACTATTTTTCTAAGCAGAATTGTTCCTTTAGTTCCCTATTATTACCATACAATTAAAACAAAATTACTCTTTAAAATATAAAAGAGTAATGTAACTATATTTTTTATGCAGAATTGTTCCTTTAGTTCTTTATTACTACCATACAATTATCAGAATTGCTCCTTAAAAGAAAACAAAAATAATGCAACTGTTTACCTATGTAATAACCAAGTGATAGGATCTCCATTTCCTAACTTATTTGATTAATCCAAATTTCTGAGGGGGGGGGGGGAATTAAATTAATAGGAAAAGAAAAAATCTCTTGACTAAGCTATAAATTCTAGTAATTTATAACATTAATTAAAAAATCCATTGCTACAGCAGACTCTTCTATATATTTTTAAGGAAAGTGAGTGTTGTATCTTAAACATCCCCCACAGAATGGTTGAAGACATATTTGAAATTCTAATTTTTATAAAGAAACAGATTTATAAAACAGTTGCCTATGTCTGCCTCTATGAAAGGTTTATTTATTATTTTCTGAGCATAGTCTGATACACAAAATACATGGAAAACATAGAAAATAATATAATAAGGATTTATGAAAAGAAAAAAATTATTAAAAAAAATTATTTTTAAAAGTATTTTTAAAAAATTTTAATTAAAAAAATAATAACTTTGTTTTCTGGTTTTATATATATACATTTACAAGTATATATACATTTATTTTCAAATACATATTTAAACATAATAAACCTTCAGGTGTATTTTCATCAGGATCATACTTCAAACTTTGAATGGCTTCAATTAGTGGCGACATTTCTTCTCCTTCAGCAGGTGGCTTTGTCATAAAAAGTGGATGTTTTTGCATCTCCTGAAAAAAAATTTTGAAATATCTAACAATTTTACATTAAAATTGCAAAGATAAAAGTTTACAATTTACTATGGTAGGTAAAACACACAACAAAACACAAACAAAAAATAACATTTTTGTTTAAATACTTGATGTAGAAACTTGAAAAAATTTGTCCCCCAGCTTCAACTTTTTTTTTTTCACTTTTTCCAGAACAAGTGTCTAGATTAGGGGTTTCCAGCTTACATGAGGCTGGGGACCACAATTAAAAACACAAATCAAATGGCGGGCCACAACTTTTTCAAAATTTTATGTAGGACTCTTTTATGCTTGAAAGAACATTAAATATTACTGTCAGATTTTTATCACGTTGTACAAAACAAAAGTATTGAATTACAACTTAAAATAAGAAGTAGATTTTTAAAAATATTTAATTGCATATTAAAAATTCAGGCTACAATAACTTTAATGTGCACCCATGTATTAAACAATTAATGTGCAACAGATATCTAATTGTTAAGATATAAAACTTTAAAAAGTTTGGTACAGTGCCCGCCGTTTATTAAAATCACTTTCGTTTTATGCTCTTTTGATTTTATTAAGCGGCTGATTTTATTAAGAGGCGATTCAACATTTGGAAAAAAAAAAATTTTGTATTCTAAATGCACACACTTTAAAAGCTGAAATAATGACAACATTAATGTTTTATTTTAACTAATTTAATTATTTTAATAAAGTAAAACCCTACATAAGATTAAATTTACAAAATTTTTGCAAATAACCGATCAATGGTTGCTTGAGTTTCAGTATTTAAAATTAACTTTTCAACATCATTTGAGAGTTTATAGAAGTTTTTATAGTTTTCGATATTTCCTCCTCTTTGTTCTAAAGCTTGCCGCACTACATTAAGTGCTTTTCTGACTTCCATTGAAGATGGCACTGATGAGTTCATTTCATCTTCTGAGTCTGATTCCTCCATTTCTTGATTGAAAATAACTTTGTAATTTTTGATGTTTGTAACAATTTCAAAATCAGATTTTTCTCCTGATGTTTGCAGTTTATCGTCAATAGCTACGGAACATGCGCACAGTTTTTGGAAATCCATTCATGTTCTCTGTTAAGATAGATAACAAAAGAAACTTCTCTCCCTTCTATGGTTCATTCAATAAAAAGTAAGATAAGAATTCGACCCCCTGTTGAGTGAGATAGGTTTCTCCAAACTTCATTCAAGTCAAGGAATTGACATTGATTTCTATGAACTTGCCGCTTACCATCCACATTTTTCCTTAACTCTTACACTATGTATATCGCAGGAAAATGCTAGCCACGCCAGCTTCACAGGCTTGTGAGTAACTGTTGCTTCCTCAAAAAAATCTTTAAACTTCGAAAAATAAAATTTTATTAATAAGAACAAAAGAAGATGAAATACTGCACGTTTGATTTATTATGTAGTCAAAATTTTGATTTTAAAAAGCGGCGGCATTGATTTTATTAAAGGATGTTTTTAACATGTATTAATATTGTAACGATTCGGTTCTTGCCGATTTGATTTTATAAAGCGGCTGATTTTATTATCCAGTGATTTTATTAGCGGCGGGCACTGTATTAAAACTTACATAGTAGCACACAAAATGTTCAATGACAAAATTGACGTTTGTCTGCTGCAACCACCAGAGAATAAATATTTGCATTTTAAATTTAAAATTTACAAATGTGTGAGAAAATATTTTGGTCCAAAATAAGTGGTTTCAAAAAGTTAAATCTGAGAATTTCTTCGAGAAAATTTCTGATACACACATGCTAAATTATATTCACAAAATACAAAAAGATGAAATAAAAAAGAGCAACATACACAATTATTTTTGTATTTGAATAAATATTTTCTTGGATGCAAAACCTGAGAAATAATTTTTTTGCACCGTTGGTATGTTAAATTTCACAGAAACGAAGAAGTTAGGTTTTAATTAACGAGAAAAATATTTTAAACCCATATAGATTTTTTAGGTAAATTGTCTGCAAAAAAATTACAACTAATATATTTTATTTCGCGGGCCACAAAAAAAAGACTTCGCGGCCGCCAGTTGGAAACCACTGGTCTAGATAATAAAAGTTTTAATTACAGTTCTGTTTTAGATAATATTTCAGAAAAACAAGCAAAGTTGCACTGGTTTATGGTTCTGGTTACCAATAAACCTGAAAAATAAAGATTTTCTCCGAGAACTAATTATATACATTACCGTATCCCAGTCATTAAAGGACCACAAATCTTCTTTTTTTCCCTTTGGAAGCTGAGCAAGGAAATCAGCAGTATCTTGATTCAGTTTATCAACCAGCTCATCAGCATCCATATTCTTAGCCTCCTTAAGGATTTCTTCCCGATTCATGTTGCTTGCCATTTTTAAGCTAAAACAAAGTAAGTTTAAAATTAAAATATACAGTACAGAACCCGTTATCCGGAAATCAGAAAACCGGGAAACCAAAAAACCGGAGCGAAATTCGATAAATTTTCCCGCCATTTAAATTTTTTTTTTTTCCTCTTAAGATTTTAGGATTTTTCGTTCTTTTTTGAAAGATGTTTACCTTACCATCATTTTGAAAATAACCATTAGTGTATTACTCCATCATTTTTTCTTCTTTTTAAGATTATTTCCAAAAAAAATATTTTTTTTAGTTGGGTTTAACATTAAAAAAACAGCTTTTTGTAGCGATTCAGAAAACCGGAAAAATCAGTTATCCGGAATAGCGATGGTCCCGATCGTTCCGGATAATCGGTTCCCTACTGTATATATATATATATAAAATTCAAACAAAAATGAAATAAAGTGAAGATTTTAAGACAAATGATAAACAAAGCTGAGACTGACAGATATTATACAACTATTTATTTGAAACAATTTTAATTATTTGATGAAATAAATTACAAATTTTTAATAAAGCATAAAAAAGGTATGTAATTTTTAAAAAGTGATATTATACCAGACGTTTTGAATTTTTTTAGGAAAGTAAGACAAAAATGACTGCAATATATTTTAATTAAAAAACATTTATATATTAATAAGTATTTATTAATATTCACTACCGTACAATAACAGAAAAACTTTCGGTTGTTAACATTTCTTTACGCAACTATTGTTTTCTGAACTGTGTAACTATTTCTAAATTTCTCAACTATTAACTGCAAACAAAGTTACGAATTACTAAATTCCTAATGCGAGGGTCCAAGGCACAGAACTATCAGGGCCCTCTCATCGTCACATTTTAACAAAATTTATCCGCTGTTTAATAATGAAGTTTTTTTAATTATTTATAACATAAATAAATTAAGATATGTTAGTAAATATGAGCTTATATCTATTTCAATCTTAGTTAACTCATAATTTTAATTAAAATTCTTAAGGAGAAGCATAAAGAAATTATTTGTAACATTAAAGGTCACCCAGAAATGAGCAGGCTCTAGTCCTGGACCTCTCAGACCTTTTGATTAATCAAACACTGATACTAATACATGTGGTTTGTTAAATCTTATTTAGCAATTCCTATCTTTGTAGACAGAGGGCCACTGGCAGCTCTGTGCCCCCCCCCCCCATTTCTAGATCAGGCCCTGAGTAGTATTTAGTAAAGTAACATTTACTTTCAAATGCATTTAAAGCTAATATTAAAAAAATTTAAATATTCTATAAATATCGAAAGTTTTAAAAATAATGACAACTTAATTATTGAAATTATATCTTATTATATATCATTAGCAGGGGTCTGTCCAAACATTTTGTGAAAGGTCCGTTTTTCTTGAAATTGTGAAAAAATTACTCACATTCCTACAACCAGGGTCCGCATTTATGAATTTGTGCAAATAGGGACCGTTCTTGCAAAAAAAAAAATTTTTCAAGGAGTTTTTAAATTGTGAAGACATACAAGATTATGTTCAACACTGTAAAATTATAATTAAAAAAATTAAATTTTAAAAAATAAACAATTGCTGCTTCTAAATTAGAGATGCAACATGCAAATATTTGGTATTTGGCTTATACTGCTGAACGCAGAATATTAATTTCGGATGAATAATGGAAGAATCGTCTGCCGAAGACAAAACTTAATTCGTTTACATCCATCTTTCTTGTTTTCTGCCCTGGAAAGGGTTTATTTGATTAACAAAATAATAATGAAGATAATCAAATTTGTGAAGGGTCCGATTAAAAGAAAAATCATTTTGTGAAGGGTCCATTTTTAAGTTAAAATATTTTGCAAAGGGTCCGTTTTTATGAAAAGATATTTTGTGAAGGGTCTGTTAATGGACCCAAATTTCTTCTAAACAGACCCTTGATTAGAATAAACTGTCAATAATTATACACGTAATTATACACTTAATACAATTTAAAATAAAATTAAACCATGTTATCACACATACTAATATTTATAGAAAATTATCTTTAGCAGCATTTTTAAATAATGCTGTAATAAAATAAACGATTGCAATTAAAAAAGTTGTGACAATAAAAATTTAAAATCTTAAAAATCTTGGAAAATAATCTAAGATTTTCTTCAAATTAAAAATTCGTCTCTTCTTCTTGAACTCAAACCATGTCAAAATACAGACACTGACTTAACATGCGACATTTCAAATGGTTCTCCACGTCCATTCGTTACGGCAACATTTCAAAGACAAATTTTCGAACACTTGCATGGCATATCACATCCTGGTATTACGGCTACTACTAAGCTCATCTGTGCCAGATATCTTAGGCCAAATATGAAGAAAGAAAGAAAGGAATGGGTGAAATGCTGTGAACCTTGTCAGCGCTCTAAAATTCAAAAACACACCAAAGCTCCTCTAGTAACATTCAGTTTACCTGATGCTCGATTTCAACAAATACACATCGACATTGTAGGCCCGTTACCTTCATCTGATGGTTACAGCTACTTATTAACAATGATCGAAAGATTTTCAAGATGGCCAGAAGTCATACCGATTGTGGACATGCAAGCCAAAACCATCTGTCGTGCAATTTTCCCTACTTGGATGTCTCGATTCGGGTGCCCTTCGATAATTACAACATATCAAGGTTCTCAGATGCGAACATCTTTATATCGTGAATTTTAGGAATCCGTACACTGCAGTAAAGGAGAATATCATCGTATCGTGTGCCGAACTGGTATACGGAACAACTCTTCAACTTCCAAGCGACAGGCTAGAAACATCTATCATTCCACCATGTGATGACATTTTTGTTGATCGTCTTAGAAACACCATACGTGAATTGAATCCAATTGCCACATCTGCGCATGGACGAAGTACATTTTACGTCAATCCCTCACTAAGCACTTGTCCTCACGTGTTTTTAAGAATGGATTGTGAAAAACCTCCCTTATATCAACCCTATACAGGTCCACAATAAGGTTTTGAAACGGTCAGCTAAAAACCTTATAATTCAACTAAATGGTAGGCAATCTACTGTGTCCATAGACTGTGTAAAGCCAGCATATTTGAGTCCTACTATAGAGAAGGTTGAATCAAACTTACGGGTTGCAAAAACCTGGAAATTCCAAATCCTTATGTACAGAAAAAAATCATTCTCCCAAGGAACCTGACAAACTTGTGACTAGGTTTGGAAGACATGTACACTTTCCAGCAAAACTAGCAACTTATGTTTGTTATTAATATCATTAACTAAGCAAGGTTGTTTAGTATAAAATATTATTTATCAATGATGTAAATAGTGTAACATTCAAAATTTTATGTGAAATATGTCCTTTCAGAGTAAAATTTTCTGTCACTGGGGAGATACTCTGTAGTATTATTCTTAATCGATAATGAATTGATTAAGCAAGATGATTATAAATCACTTCTTGTATGTTGGATGGCAACAGTCTGGATGAAAAATAGAAGAGCTATGGTGAATAAATATTTGCTAACCTTCTGAATAAGTCTATCTTGTATTAAAGTGATAAAATAACACTTCAATGTAAATAATAAATGATTTATTTATAGAAAAGATATAAATCTTAATTACTAACATTAAGAAGAAAAAATCAGAAGTCTGTTTAGGAGACCTTTATGAACATTAGTGAACCTTTCACAAATCATTTTATGGTAAAAAAGGACCCTCTATCAAATAATTTGTCTGAACAGCTTTGCAATATTAATTTAAAAAAATAAACCACTCACAAAATGTTTTCTTTGAAATGCAAGCTAACAGTGTCAATAATTCTTGAAAGACATGGTAGTTGCATTTTTTAACAAATGAGGCAGTCATTTTTCCACATTTACCAAAATATGACCTTTTATGAAAAGTGTTAACCAAAATAAAAAACATAAAACCCTAATTTCTCAAAACTAGGAGCAGATTTTCTTCAATTTCACAGAAACAGGACTTATCATAAAAAGTCTGGAAAGACTATTAGCAATGCAAGATGCAATTAATGAAAGTAAATAAGTTCCTAAAAAAAACTAACAGGCAAATTATCTTTTTTCAACATTAATAATTTCATAAGAAATTTTTTTTTTTAATGCATACATTTCAGATGTTTTTACTTAAGTAAACACAAAAATTTATATTCAAACTAAAAAAAACTTTTACTATCCTTTACACGCAAGCAAATATTTTAACAAAAAAAAAAAAAAATTATGTTCAAGTATATATGGGGGGTTATTGAGACTAGAAGTGAAAACAATTTAAATTTTATGTGCATTGATATCAAGATATCAATTTGAATACCATACATGTTTCATATTCAACATAATTTTTTGAACATAATTAACTAACATTAACGATTAAATTGCCTACTAATGAAACATTTTGCACCTTTATAGCGACTAATTAAAGAAAAAACTTACTTGTTACTACTTATAGAAATTGGAATATTGGATTTTAAAATTGCGACATTGAATTTTAAAACGTTGAATTTTAATTACGATTTTTAATTTTAAAAATACAAATAACAATACTGAGTTTTTGTAGTGCATAAATATGAATCACTTAAAATGCGTTAATATAAATCGCTATGCATGGTTTTTAAATTACTTATAAATACGAAAATCGATGTTTGATTTGACAAACACGTGAATACGATTGAATTTTTAACTCACCTGAATACGAATTGCAATATTGGGTTTTAAAAATGAAGTGAATAGAATGCCCTATTTTTAAATTGTGTAAATACGAATTGCAATGCATAACTTTTAAATCAGTTGAATACCAAATATAACGTTTTATAATAATATCACGTGAATAAGAATCACAATATTAGCAGTTTCCAGCACAGTTCCAAACACTCAAAGTGTTGAAAATCAGCCAAACCGAAAGAATTAAATTGACGGAAGAATCACGTGTATGCATACGTCTCGCTAAAGGGATTTAATAACAAAAGTTTCAACAGTTCCAGGGACTTAAGAAACGCGAGAATCTACGACATTCAAGGAAAACTCACATGTCTCGCTTTTAGTTCTTAGAACCAGGCGAACAATATGAAAAACTCGGAATACAATGACCCCTGATCAGGGTCGAATTAACCTATAGGCACACTAGGCACGTGCCTAGGGCCTACGAAATTCAGGGGCCTACGAAAAACTTGGGAGAAAAAAATTTGTTGACAAAAATAATTTAGCTTTAAAAACAACAAGTGTATTTTGCACAAAATTATGAAGATACAAATAAAAATATAATATTTTTCGGTAATAAATTATTTCGCAGAATCTTATGATATAATATATTACTTTTTTGGATTCAACGAAATCTTGTATTATGCTGTCGAATTCCAAACTACGCAAGATTTCGTATTCAATAGACATAAGTGCGAGCGATGCCAAACGATCTTGATTCATTGTTGAACGCAAATAATTTTTTATCAATTTTAATCTGGAGAAAGATCTTTCTCCTTCTGCATTTGCTCCAAGAATCGACAAATATATTCTTAATGCAATGTGAATGTTACGAAAAGTACTAACGATTGAACTAATCATAATGGTATCATCGATATCAACTGCAATATCGGCAGTATGTCGGTATTGCAGATGAAGTTCGATAAACAAATTTTTAAATTAAAATCCATATTAATAAAAACTTTAAAAAAATATGCAAGAAAATTTAAGCACATATTTTGAAAAGAGGGAAGGAAGGGAGAGCCCAAAAACGGCTATGCCTAGGGCCCACGAAAGGTATAATCCGGTTCTGTGCCTAGGGCCTACGAAAGGTATAATCCGGCTCTGTGCCTAGGGCCTACGAAAGGTATAATCCAGCTCTGCCCCTGATACATAAAAAAGGGCATATTTGTAATTTCACCACGATATGACAAAGCTAAAAATGTATTAACAACATGAAATTTGAATATAAAGTTAAAGAAAATTTAGTTTGAGTATGTTACTGCACTTTCATTGAAAATCTGGCTCTCGGAAATTATTTTGTGTGCTCAGCATATTTTTCTGAATCATCATTAAATTGATGCAAACGCTAGTTAGGTAAATTTTTGATACAGGTATTCAACAACAGTTATTACTGAAACAACAATTCAGTTGCAATTTACAGGAGTTAATTAAGAGATTTTCAATACTTTATAAAGAAAATTAAGTTGAACTTTACGTGGAAGAAAATGTGTAAAGATTTAACTTTTCTAATCATCAATGGAGCAAACATTTAGGTTTAAAAAGATTTAAAAGAATATATTTCATTAAACAAGGCAAATTTTTAAGGTCATGAAGTTCTTATATTACCTATCATCAATTTTGAAGTACAGACACGAGAAAGTTCTTTTTTTATTGTTTATTGATTTAACAGGAAAGAACGCTTCCAGCTGCATGTTTCTGCTCGGTTAATTGAAGAAATTTAGCTGATAGAGTGAACTTTTTGTAAAATAGGTTGCTGTAATATGACGAGGTTTCGCTAAATCGTAACTAAAATTCTCATTTGCTGTTGTTGTTGTTAATTTACGTCGCACTAGAGCTGCACAATGGGCTATTGGCGACGGTCTGGGAAACATCCCGGAGGATGATCCGAAGACATGCCATCACAATTTTGATCCTCTGCGGAGGGGATGGCACCCCCGCTTCGGTAGCCCGACGACCTGCGCGCGAAGTCGAGCACTTTACGGTAGCACAGTTTAACGAGGACCAATACCGCACACCCTCGGTCGCTACGCAGACTGATCCAAGTGATCACCCACCCGCACACTGACCGTAGCCAGTGATGCTTGACTTCGGTGATCTGCTGGGAACCGTGTCTTAACGATCAGTCCACTGCGGGACAATTCTCATTTGCATGGGAAAAGTTCGTTGAATTGAATTCAAAAAATCAAGTAAAATTTATTACCACAAAGCTTGTGAGAATTATTCTCACTTTCATCCCCTAATTTACATCCATGACATTTTTGTATGTAGTGGATATTTTTGTTTTTAAGAATTCCCATATGCGATTGTCCATCAATTCGATTCACGCATGCGCGAGCAACTAATTTCTCATGTAGTGTGAATGCTCTAAGAAAGCATTCTCATTTCATGTAACTGATGCACCTCCGAATGTCGGGGGACGGGGGAAAACCTAATTGGGTACTTGCCCTTCAAGAAGAAGACCTTCCATACCCACACATGTGACCTATGACGTCAGCGCCAGCTAATCTTTTTCAGCAAAGTATCGTATTAAAGTTGAGCTAAGTTTCTCTACCTAAGTTAAAATCTTTACAAACAATAAGTTAATTAAATTCAGAGCAGTATCGTACATCGAATTAGTTGAAACATAATTTTTTCTCGTCTACGTCTTTTACTGAAATTAGATTTATTATTTGTTTATATATTTTATTGTAATCATGATATATTTTTTTTGTACCTGGCATTTTCGATGCATAATTAGTTTGTTTATGTTCCACATGGCTTCGTGACAATGTGGTATATCTCTGTGTAAATATACAGGGTGTCTCAGTTAAGCGTTTCAGAACTTCTAAGAGGGGTAGGGGACGACTCGAAATCATATAGCAATGTGGGGTCGGAAATGTTTTCCTGAAGCGGTGACAGAAGCACCATAAAGAAAAGAAACCGTAAGTGAAAAATCGCTATAATAATACATTGAAAAAATTATATGGCCTCCTCGGTCACCCGACCTATCATGTCTTGATTTCGGGAGTCATATGAAAACACTGGTTTATGACACCCCTGTTGATAATGCTGGTTGCAAGAATCGCAGTAGCTGCCTGCAAGATATGCCTGAAGTATTGCAGAATGTTCGATTGTCCATGCGCCGGAGATGTGAGGTGTACATTGTAGCCGGTGGTAGAGACTTCGAACACTTACTTTGGCCCATGTACCATATAATTTTTTTCAATGTATTATTATAGCGATTTTTCACTTACGGTCTCTTTTCTTTATGGTGCTTCTGTGTACGTCACCGCTTCAGAAAAGCATTTCCGACCCCACATTGCTGTATGATTTCGAGTCGTCAGGATGCCCCCTACCCCTCTTAGAAGTTCTGAAGCGCTTAACTGAGACACCCTGTATAGCGAAAGAAGTGAAATCTTTGTGAAAGAATTTAGATTGTGTGATTCAAGAGAATTGATACTAGCCGAGTTTGGTTTACTCGAAATAGAATGGAAAGAACAGTTGTTAACGTAAGCAATTGCCACGTTCCAACAACCAATCAGACTCAAGCAACCCACACTACATCACTTGCAGGTATCCCATTGGTGAGTTTTCCCAGGAATCTATATTTCACCAATCAGGTTCTCATGTTCTCTAATAGTGATCTGTGAGAATGGTCTTTAGGGGACCATTCACGCTGTATGCGAAAAGTTTGCGCATGCAAATTCGAAAGTGCAAATGGGAAGCTGATTAGTGAAATTTCGCGAAAAACTCGCCTACAACTACGGGAAAGTACTTTTGCACATTATTCGAGATCGTAACGCTCGAATACACCATCTGTGGAGATTCTATAGCTTGACTCTCTCCTCCTTTTTTCAGTTGCATAGGAATGTACTACGATACATTCCCCTTTCTTAATATTTTTCGTATTTACTTGTCAAAATTATTCTTTAAATTTTTCACAATGTTTTTTTTTTTAGAACTATGTTCAAAACAGTTTTTAGTTCCTTATAGTTTCCTAACTTAAAAGTTTTTAATCTATTTGAATATCAAGACAGAATTTAACGTACTTACTTCTCCTATGTCTCTCCACACGCTAATTTTGAAAGCATTCGAAGTGTTACCATAGGTAAAAAGTTCTGTTTTACGCCACCTGTAGCCCGTTTCGATCTCCAATACCGGTATCCATCTAAATTTTTTCCCTTATATATTCCCCCATATAGCACAAACTCATCCAGTGAATGTCCACTAGACATCATCGCAAACATCCCCGAAGGTCCATGTGGACGTCCACAAAATATTCATATTTGATTCGTGGAAGATCCTGTAGAAGTCCAAAAGCCGTTAATCAGACATCCGCTATACCTTTTACATGACTGGGACGGCAAATGGATGATTTGATCCATAACATATCCGGGCACAGTCATCTCATAGACAACAACTGAAATTATTTCTGATATGCAAGAAGACGTGTAGCGAGCATGCACTTTGTTACTTTTGATTGAAGGTCCCACTACGAACTTCCAAAAATGAATCATTGAAAGGTATCACTTACCTTGCTATGTTCTATATGTATAAGCAGTACGACCAACCTTTTCTATATATAGGTCCGGGGTTGGCGTCAATATACCTAATGATAAATATCTAATGACAACAGCCAATTTGAATAACAATAGAACATTTTATTGTTCTAATTAACAAATCATGACGATGAAAATGAAATATGAATGAAATGTCTACAAGTTCAGTGATGATGAGAAAGTTCGACTTCCTTGCCTGAGTACATATACATATCTGCCTGAGCGTAGGGAGTTACGGTTACAGTTCGACAGCATAAGGAGTTACGGTTGCAGTTCGTAACACACTTTGTACCGTTCATATATATGAACGATATACAAAGGACATGTTCGTTGCATGTTACAGAGTTCGTATATACGAAAACTGTAATTAAATATTTCACATTTTTATGCCCTCAATCGATGTAGATGTAACAGTGTGAAAACCAAATTACAAACTTTTAATTTGGCTCAAACTTTTTTTAAAAAACTTTTCAATTATACTTGTCACAATGCGCTCGGTTTGTTTGTTACTTAAAGGAGAGCAAATTTTAAAGATAATTTATAAAATTCTTTAGACTCCTAACTACTCAGCTGATGAAGAAAAAATAAATCATCCCAGTTACAAGCTTAATAAAGTCAAAATGTGTTACAATTTGTAACTACATTTTTTTTTAAAATCAGGAATTCTTTTTTAGTTCATAATATGAACATAAAAAGAACTATTTACAGTTTGAGTTAAATCAGTAAAAATCGTTTTTTGCGATATTTATTAATTAAGTATTATTTAATGAATAAATAGCTAATCTAATATCAGCATTTGGTCAATTACATAGACTAAATTTAATTGAATTAGTGAATATAATGTGATCATTCTTTTAAAAGTCATTTGTTTTAAAATTAAAAGCCTACAAAAATTCCTGATTTTATAACTACTACACATTAAAACTTTATACAATATAAAATATCTTATTATAAAAAATACCCATAATTGATATGAACTTTCAAAGATTTTTTTACTCATTATCATGGGGAACAACATGGATTATCCATGGTGGATACATGATTATCTGAAATTACTCCCAAGGTTTCTAACGCATGCACGATTTTAATATTTTCGAAGGGCAAGCGAGAAAGTAGATCTCTCACATAAGCGTGAATCAATAGCTCTCCTCTTATAATCAACTCCTCAGCGATGCTTCACTTCCCCATGGCTTGTGATAGATACAGAAATTTATTATGATTATCCTAATTAGGATCTTTATCAATTTTAAAAATAGTCCCCCAAAATATAACCAGGAAGTTGAATTTCAGGATTTGCAACAATGTATTTCTTGATAAAACATTCTTACCAAATGCAAAATCTTTTATCGCAGAACTTATATTTATAGGCTTCTGTTCTAAAAGATGCCAGCGATCAATTCCGATTCATTAAATTCAGCCTTGCATGTTGCTTCATAAACTTCACTAGCAATAAGATTGTCTTTGATTTTCATTTCAGTGTCTATCAATAAATTTGCTTTTTGTTCAATGAGTTTAATTAACTTGCCATCACTGCGTCAAATACTCTTCTTTACAAAAATAATTGCAAGCTTTAGAGAATAATCTTCGATATTGTGTTCGAGCTTAAACTACGAATATAGACAAATGATGACGAATAGGCGATAAATACTTAACAAATACAATTTCGGGAAAATAACTTACTGAAATGGTATATTAACTACTAACTTAACTACTAACACACTAAGATTCAATCAAGAAAACACACAATACAATATAAAAGCGGGTGATTATCAACAAAAGATAAAAACACATATGGTCCACCCGGCCCATAAGACTAGCCATAAATACACTAACCTACCAACAAGTACTAGTACTAGCAAAACAACGACGGTACAAATCTACACCGATGGCTCCAAAACAGACAATGGCGTGGGAGCTGCATTCTGTGTTTACCACAACAACCAACATACAGATACATACAAATTTACGTTAAAACAAGAAAACACAGTGTTTCAAGCAGAGGTTTTAGCCATCAAAGAAGCCATCAATTGGTTAGAGACACACAGCTGCAAAGATGCAACAATTTTCACAGACAGTCTGGCTAGTATACACGCTATTAGAAAAACGAAACAAAAAGACCCACACGTGGCAACAACACAAAGACAACTAGAACACCTAGTCAGAAAATGCAACACACAAATACACTGGGTGGCAGCGCACACAGGTAACATAGGCAATGAAGCAGCGGATTTAGCGGCTAAAGACGCAGCAGCAGGTCACGGGATTCCCAGCGGTGTTCTGCTTCCACCATCGAGCCTGAGAAATAAACTTAAAAACATCACACAAAAACTTTGGCAAGCATACTGGGACGAAAATGAAAAAGGCTATACAACAAAATCATATTATCCTAAAGTAGACACAGACCGACTCATAGGCCATCCAGCAGCAATACAATTCCTTACAGGACATGGCTTCTTCCCCTCATTCTTACACAGGATGCAGCGAATAAACACAGACACATGCCCATGCGATGACACAGGTACCCCAAGTCACTACCTACATGACTGCCCACTAACTGAATCATACCACCTCAAAAAACCCAATGAACAAGGCAGAACGATATTTGCAGACAGTTTCAAAAACAAGCATATTATGCAAAAACTAATAAATATTCTAGCCATAACCAGAAACATCACAGACAATATGTCATAAACCTTATAATAACTTTGTAAAAATACTGGCAGCAAATACAATGTTGAGGTGTCAGGGCTCCAGGCAAACCATTGCTGCAGCATAAAAACACACTCTGGCCCCACCCCTGACCAGCAAGCATTTGGCAGGCAGTCAGTCAACACAAGCTGTTGTCCGTGAGGCAAATAA